TTTATTATTATCCAAAAGGAAGTTGGATCTGCAGCAGGCATCAAGACCTGCAGCAGAATTACATTTTAGGACTTCATCTGACATCCTGAGGGGAATAGAGGGGGGTCCCCAGCAGGGGCTAATGCCATAAGGGGGTCCTAAAATAGACTTTATTAATCCTGCAAGGGAAAAATCCAGTTTTACACTCTGTTGTTGAGACATGCTAAACACACATGCAGGCTGAAATACACACACACATGTACAAACAGCATCCTGTGGACATGCACTGAAGGAGAGATGACAGAGTGAACACTTCTGAGCTCCTGAGCTGCTCAGAGGCACCTGGCAGTCCCCAGGAAGTCAACTTGGCAACTCTCCAGCTACCAAATTTCCAGCGGGACTTGAACCGGCGGCCATCCGGTTTCACGCCCAAGTCTCTCCAGACTGAGCTACTGCCGCCCCTTCGAACGGCAAGTTTGGGTACCCCTGCTTTAGAGCATATACTGTACTTTGAAGTTTTATTCTTTGTTAGTAAAAGAATAATGCAACAATATTCAACTGTATCGAATCAAATCTTCAAATCCATATATTTAAACATCTTCACATCTTTAAATCCATATATTTAAACATCTTCACATCTTTAAATCCATATATTTAAACATCTTCACATCTTTAAATCCACATGTTTAAACATCTTCACATCTTTAAATCCACATGTTTAAACATCTTCAAATCAACATGTTTAAACATCTTCACATCTTTAAATCCACATTTTTAAACATCTTCACATCTTTAAATCCACATGTTTAAACATCTTTAAATCCACATGTTTAAACATCTTCACATCTTTAAATCCACATGTTTAAACATCTTCAAATCAACATGTTTAAACATCTTCACATCTTTAAATCCACATGTTTAAACATCTTTAAATCCACATGTTTAAACATCTTCACATCTTTAAATCAACATGTTTAAACATCTTCACATCTTTAAATCCACATGTTTAAGCATCTTCACATCCATATATTTAAACATCTTCACATCTTTAAATCCACATGTTTAAGCATCTTCACATCTTTAAATCCACATGTTTAAACATCTTCACATCTTCAAATCCACATGTTTAAACATCTTCACATCTTTAAATCCACATGTTTAAACATCTTTAAATCCACTTGTTTAAACATCTTTAAATCCACATGTTTAAGCATCTTCACATCCATATATTTAAACATCTTCACATCTTTAAATCCACATGTTTAAGCGTCTTTAAATCCACATGTCCTAACATCTTCTCAGGCTATTGTTGGCTGATGTGATTGTGTTCTTTCAGGAGTCGCTCCGGCTTTGTTTGGTCATCCCTCCTGTTTATTTGAATGCTTTTTAAACGTGCTTATTTTTAGAGTGCAGCGAATTTAACTGGCCTTTTTTATGCGGACAAATCTACTTAAAATAACTCTCAGGCAAAGTGTGTGTGTTTCTGTGTGCAGTCACAGAAGCTTGACACTACAGTTTGTGTTTGTGTGTGATAGTGTGTGTGATAGTGTGTGTATTTTAGAAGTGAGCCTTAATGCCTGTGATCCTGCCTGCTTTTAGTAGATTAGGGCTCACTCAAATGTAATGGTGCCCACGACCTCTTAATGAGAGTGTCTGTGTGTTTGTGTGTGTGTGTGTCACTCTGTGTAGAAGTGTGTATCCATTTACCTTGTTTTGTGTTGAGTACATTGAGTACAGTGATGCAGCTGAGCTCTGACTTTCACTCTCTGCCTGTTTAGACGCAAATCGCTCTACGGATACACACTTTAATGCGAGGATCATCTCATTATACACACACACACACACACACAGATCTCATTCATTCATATATGATGATCAACTGTAATCAGTTTTAAATGATCCAGAAGGCTCAACACTCACAGCAAAAAGCAGAGGAAGTTAAGTGTTTTCAAAGTAAAGGTGTAACAATTCACTAATTCACTTAGCAGACGCTTTTCTCCAAAGCGACGTACATCAGAGAGTAAGAACAACACAAGCAAGGATCTAGAAAAAAGGGAACAATGTGAGTAAGAGCAAACAATCAGCTTTGAGTCTGATTGGACACACAGGTGCTGACAGGAAGTGACCAGAGGCAAAGCACAACATTGAGGGCAGTTCTTGAGAGCTCTAATCAGTATAGAAACCATCTTATAAGTCGTGGTTATCAAACAAAAACCATCGTCATTACCATCGTCATCATCAATAATATGGAGAGCATCATCATTAAGTTAGTAGGTATTCATGAAAGAGCTGGGTCTTTAGCTTTTTCTTAAAGGTGCAGAGGGACTCTGCAGATCACATGGAGTTTGGAAGTTCATTCCACCACCGGGGGGCGACAGAGGAGAAGAGTCTAGTCAGAGACTTAGTGACCCTGGATCAGACGCCTTTCATAACGATGAGGATCTTGTTTTCACAGTTTTTGTCACCTGTGCCGTGTAGGTCGTGTTTCAGTGCCGTTGGTTCCTTTGTCAGCAGGATTACA